GTCTTGTAAGGAGAAACACGCTTTCATTGCTTGTTTGATTTTCTAAGATTATTTGTTTTGTTTTTAAATGCAGCTAAGCAATTAAAATTTAAATATGAAATTATGTCATTCTTTTGAATAAATGATAAAGTTTGAATTTTCATATTTAGATTCTGGCATTAAATGACCCATAGAGATGTTTATATGCCACTAAACTAAAACAAACAAACAAGAATAAAAAGTAAAAAAAAAAGATACATTTTCCTATCATGCTAGTAATAAAGGAACCTGGTTTTTTTTTTTTTTTTTTTTTGGTTATCTGCGCAATTTTATTACCCGACTTCTGGAGGAGACAGACTCTTTCTCTTTCCACTTTCCAGCGCATAACATTCAAACGTGATTTAGCAGAACATCCACCGATGAAGTAAGCACCGCATTTATTTTGGTCGTTCCAACTCAGCGCAAAGCTGACATGAGCTCGAACATTATAAACGTTCTTATTATTACTTACCATAACTTCTGGAGCAGAAAAAGAAAACGGACATTCCTCGAAGAGACTGAGAACTTTGGTTCCCTACAGTAACTACAAAATGATAATAATAATAATAATAATAATAAGGAGATACAAAAAAAAAATACAGCCCACACTTTTACGAAGGGCTTTGTCTATGTAATTTCTTTTTTTGTCAGTGGAAAGTGTCATGATGTCATTTCTAACGTTAGGTCCCTGTGGAGGGACCGGAAAAAATTGTAAACAGCTAAAAGATAATAATAATAATAAAATAATAATAATAATAATAATAATAATAATAATAATATCAAAACTATCAAAATACAAAGACCTGGAAATTGAAATTTTGAAATTGAAAACAAGAATAATACCAGTGGTAATAGGTGCACTTGGAATTATAAAAAATGGAACAAAACAACACATTGAAAGAATCCTGGAAACCCCAGCTTAAGAGACATACAGAAAATTGTCTTATTAAGTACAGCACACACACTAAGGAGAACTTTGTCTATGTAACGCTAGCAACTTCATCGGAGAAAAAAAAAAAAAAAAAAAAAAAATTTAACATGAAATGAAATAACAACACACCACGACCTGCCTTAGGTCTTTCCGCAGACTTGGTAGGTAGTATGTCCATAGCAGAAATAATAATAATAATAATAATAATAATAGACGGTCCGTAGTAGAAACCAAAAACTTTTTTGCTTCTTCTTGAATTAATATTGCTTCAACTTCCATAGCGACACGAAACAAATCCTTTTTTCATGCGTGTCCACTGTGTCTCTGTCGCCTGAAAGATTGTTTTTAAGTGCTGTTCTTAATATGTTTCTTGTCACTGTAAACAGTTTTTTTTTTTAGGTGAATAATCAGGAAACCCTAGAAACTATCTTGCAAAAAAAACAGTTGTCCGCCTATATTCATTTTTTGTACTAAACTATATTTTGAAGTTCTTGGCGAGGCATTTTTTTTTCAGTTGCGGTGTAAAACCGGCAGGGTATCCTATGCGACCGCGATTTGAACTCTTAATACACCCACGATCCCCTCTGGTAATTTTCAGGCATTCTTGAAACAAAGGAATGATAAGGCGCCGGCGTTCTACCCCGATTCCCTTATCTCGACTCCCCCACACCACAACAACACTGGCAGTAGATAAGAAAGCTAATTATGGACTCACGAAACGGACAGCGATCAAAAGGATGTTCTCTTTTCGTTGTGTTTTCGAAAAAGATCACTTTAGAGTACCATTCATGTCGGGTTAATAATTTAATCGACATTTTATATCAAACCGTTCTATCAAATGTCATAATTCCTAATCGTGTAGTCTGTGGCGTGCAAGAATCATTTTAATGAGAAAAGGGAATTTTCTTGATGAAACAATATACCCATCTCTGTTATTTTCTATCTTTGTTTCTTGTAATTTAGGAAAATTCCATAACGGAACATTCGGTAACGGAATATTCGGTCACGGCAAATGCACTAATGGAAAATTCGGTAACGGAAATTCAGTGACGCAAAATTCGGTAACGGAAAATTCGGTAAAGAAAAATTCAGTGACGAAAAATTGAGTAATGGAAAAATCGTTAACGGAAAATTCGGTAACAGAAGATTCGGTAACGGAAAATTCAGTGACGGCAAATTCAGTAACGGAAAATTCAGTAACTCAAAATTTGGTCACTGAAGATTCGGTAACGGAAAATTCGGTCACAGCAAATGCACTAATGGAAAATTCGGTAATCGAAAATTCAGTAACAGAAAATTCAGTAAAGGAAAATTCGGTAACGCAAAATTCATTAATGGAAAATTCGGTAACGCAAAATTCGGTAACGGAAAATTTAGTAATGGAAAATTCAATAACGGAAAATTCGTTTACGGAAAATTCAGTAACGAAAGATTCGGTAACGGAAAATTCGGTAATGGAAAATTCGGTAGCGGAAAATTCAGTAATGTAAAATTCGGTAATGAAAAATTCAGTAACGAAAGATTCGGTAACGGAAAATTCAGTAATGGAAAATTCGGTAACGGAAAATTCAGTAATTGAAAATTCGGTAACGGAAAATTCAGTAATGGTAAATTCAGTAATGGAAAATTCAGTACCTCAAAATTTGGCCACTGAAGATTCGGTAACGGAAAATTCGGTCACAGCAAATGCACTAATGGAAAATTCGGTAACGGAAAATTCGGTAACGGAAAATTCAGTAACGGAAGATTCGGTAACGGAAAATTCGGTAACGGAAAATTCAGTAACGGAAGATTCGGTAACGGAAGATTCGGTAACGGAAAATTCAGTAACGGAAGATTCGGTAACGGAAAATTCAGTAACGGAAGATTCGGTAACGGAAGATTCGGTAACGGAAAATTCAGTAACTGAAAATTTGGACACTGAAGATTCAGTAACGGAAAAATTCGGTCACAACAAATGTACTAATGGAAAATTCTCTAACGGAAAAGTCGGTAACAGAAAATTCAGTAACGGAAGATTCGGTAACGGAAAATTCATTAACAGAAAATTCAGTAACGGAAAATTCGGTAATGGAAAATTCTGTAACAGAAAATTTGGTCACTGAAGATTCGATAACGGAAAATTCGGCCACAACAAATGCACTAATGGAAAATTTGGTAACGGAAAAGTTTGGTAACAGAAAATTCAGTAACGGAAGATTCGGTAACGGAAAATTTAGGTAACGGAAAATTCAGTAACGGAAAATTCAGTAACTGAAAATTTGGTTTGAAAGATTCAGTAACGGAAAATTCGGTCACAACAAATGTACTAATGGAAAATTCTCTAACGGAAAAGTCGGTAACAGAAAATTCAGTAACGGAAGATTCGGTAACGGAAAATTCATTAACAGAAAATTCAGTAACGGAAAATTCGGTAATGGAAAATTCTGTAACAGAAAATTTGGTCACTGAAGATTCGATAACGGAAAATTCGGCCACAGCAAATGCACTAATGGAAAATTTGGTAACGGAAAAGTCGGTAACAGAAAATTCAGTAACGGAAGATTCGGTAACGGAAAATTCGGTAACGGAAAATTCAGTAACGGAAAATTCAGTAACTGAAAATTTGGACACTGAAGATTCAGTAACGGAAAATTCGGTCACAGCAAATGTACTAATGGAAAATTCTCTAACGGAAAAGTCGGTAACAGAAAATTCAGTAACGGAAGATTCGGTAACGGAAAATTCATTAACAGAAAATTCAGTAACGGAAAATTCGGTAATGGAAAATTCTGTAACAGAAAATTTGGTCACTGAAGATTCGATAACGGAAAATTCGGCCACAGCAAATGCACTAATGGAAAATTTGGTAACGGAAAATTCGGTAACGGATAATTCAGTAATTTTGACGAGGTAGGAAAATTCGGTAACTGTGAAGTAAAAGTCAATAAAAAATTAATTTGGGGGTCGTTCTAGTGTTTGGATTTGGGGATAAGCCCACCTCCCCAATATTTTTAAGTAACTGAAAATCGTTGGGTCCAGATAAAACTCCACTACAACAATACCATGGCGGTACTTGCAGAAAGAGGGTTTGGTGGCGGCCGGCCTTCTTCACCAATATTTAAAAAAAAATTATTATGAACTATAGGGGTCTAAATAAATCCCCCCCTACAACAATACAAGGACTGTAATTTCTGGAGGGGGCTATTCCCCACCATACGTGTAAATAAGTATTAACTAAAAAAAATCATGGGTTCCAGTACAGATAAAACCCTACTGCAACAATACCAGGGTCGTAATTTCTGGATGGGTTGGAAATAGAGGGTGAAGCCCTCACTCCAATATTTTTAAATAAATATTTTTCAAAGTATTTATTTAATTAATAGAGTGTATTGTTTTCATTCAAGCAAATATAATCGATTTATCTAAGTTAAAGTTAAGTTATTGTGTTCTTTTTTTAAATTATTATTTTAATAAAAAAAAGTAAATAAATTAAATTTTAGATAGTTATTTCTTTTTAAAGGAGAAAAAAACTATGTAGCCTTGTTTCTTTGTAATTTTTCTCGAATTTTATATATTAAAATTTGCAACAATAATTAACAATTAATACAACTATATTACTATATATCGTTTACAGTGATTAAAACTAAACTAGAAATAGTTTTTTTTTTACGAAAAAGCAACGTGCTCAAAAAGGAATACAAAGATTTGATTGAAAAAAAAAACAACAACAAAAAAGAAACAAGTTTAGTTTATATTTGTTGTAACCTAAAAAGGGTTACTGAATGAGGAATAACCAAAACGGAGCTTGGAAATGAAATGGTAATCTTTATAACATCAACAAAATACAATACTCGCCAGCGGCGTGAAGTAGGTAAACCACTGCTAGTCTTGGACTACATAGACAGCATATTTCCCCTCACTTTCCAATAGTGTATATATATATATATATATATATATATATATATATATATATATATATATATATGTGTGTGTGTGTGTGTGTGTGTTTGTGTGTGTGTTTGTGTGTCATCATAAAATCTCTTTATTATCTATCTCTTCGTCTGTCTACATGAGATCACATCTATCTATCTATCTATCGCAGCCAGTCAATTACCGCTTTCTCTCAATATATATTTATATCTCACAGTTTATTCCTATCACAATCTATCTATCTATCTATCTATCTATCTATCTATCTATCTATCTATCTATCTATCTATCTATGTTTCTGTATCTCTCTCTATATATGTGTCTATCTATATATGTCATCACATCTCTATCTCTCTATTATCTATCTCTCCGTCTGTCTATATGCGATCACATCTATCTATCTATCTATCTATCTATCTATCTATCTATCTATCTATCGATCTATCTATCTATATATGTGTGTGTGTATGCGTGCGTGTTTGTGATCACATCTCTATCTATATATCACAGTCTATTGTTATCTATCTATCTATCTATCTATCTATCTCTATATATATGTGTGTGTGTGTTTGTGTCTATCTACATGTAATCACATCTATCTATCTATCTATCTATCTATCTCAGTCTATTCATATCTATCCATGTATCTCTCTCTCTCTCTGTCTTTCTGTCTCTCTGTCTGTCTTTCTGTATATATATATATGTCTATATATATCATCTTATCTATCTATCTATCTATCTGTCTTATCTATCTATCTATTTTGGAACAATAGTTATTACTATAATTCTGCCCTTTAACCTCACGAAAAACGAAACGGGGCAAAATATGGTCAAATGAAAGCCATTTTTTCTTTTTTCTTTTGTCCTTTTCGCCATAGCACCAAAAGTCAGACAATAATTTGAAACAACAACTATGGTTGCCAGACAAACTGTCTACGCATGAATTCGCGTGCAAATTAAAACATTTTTCAAAGTTAAAAGCCACTTACACGCCCAAATGGGCACCCAAAGAATTAGGTCCATCGGTGATGATGTTTGCGGTGAGAAAATGAGTGAGCCGGGGGGGGGGAGGCTGGAACGAGAAAGATTACGATGAGTGATTGTTGTGAAGAGAATATGAAAGATGAAGAAGGAAATAGACGTTGAAAAATTGAGAATGAGTAAAAAAGAAAAAAAAAGAGGGAGACGTTAAGGTGGGAAGAGTGAGAAAGATAGAGAGAGAGAGAGAGACAGAGAGAGATGTTAGAGGAAGATGAAAGATAAACAGAGTCAGTGAAAGAGAGTGAGAAATGAAGTGGAATGTAAAGCGAAAGAAAGTGCAAAAGGGAAAGAAAGTGCAAAAAAGAATTAATTTAGAAACGAGATTGGCATATATATATATATTATATATTATATATATATATATATATATATATATATATATATATATATATATATAGTCATCCATATAAAGTGCAAGACCATTTCGCTGTATCACAGCTCACACACACACACACACACACACACACACACACACACACACACACACACACACACACACACACACACACACACATATATATATTGGTTTGTAAGCCTGTAAGCTTTTATGATCATCAGATTAAATTTACTGAGTAAAGTTATTCCAAAATTCCCTTGAAAAGGAAACAGAAGAAATGCTTTTAATTTAATTATATAATTAAATTGGAAGTTTTTAGCTTCACTTTTTGAAACATGGTTATTATTGTGTAGTGAATAAACATATTTTAAATCAGTTTAATTTATATATATATATATATATATATATATATATATATAGAGAGAGAGAGAGAGAGATAACTAGACTCGTTTCGAAAAACCCTCGAATTTTTGATTTGCTAATCAAATCAATCTCGAAGGAAAAAAAGGTTTTAAAAAAAGAAAGAGCTACAAACATGAACTTCTGCCGACAAAAAAATCGCACAGATACAGGTCTGAAGCCCAAAGAAAAAAAACCGATAAGAGTAACAACTAACTAACAAAAGAGCTCAATACAACCGTAGAGCAGACCTAGATACGCCTAGTGAGCCAGACAAACCTACCTAGGTTTCACCTAAACGGATCGTCAGGGAAAGTTTGGCTGGCAAACTTTCCCTGACGATCCGTTTAGGTGAAACCTAGGTAAGACACCTGGCTTTTAGGTGTATCTATCTATATATATATATATATATATATATATATATATATATATATATATATATATATATATATTGATAATAGTGGTAAATATACATACATATGCAATCATATATCTAAAATATATAGATATATATACATACATAAAAACACTTACATAGATATTTGTATAAAAAATGAGGATAGAATCCAGGTAGAACTAAATGTCCAGGACAGAGTAAGGATATATATATATCTTTATTTTTTTCCTTTTCCTCTCCTGTTCTTGTATGTCTGTTACCCTCTCTATAGCTCTAACATTCGTCCCACACTCTCATACATACATTCTCTTTAAATTTTATTTTTTATCAAATTGTAGTTATTTTTTTTGTTTTTTTTTGAATTTAAAAAGGTTAATGAATTGGCGATGTATTTACGATTCCAATAGAATAAATTATAGGCCATGGGATATTAAAATTTAAGCCTTTTTATATATATATATATATATATATATATATATATATATATATATATATATATATATATATATATATATATATATAATAGGAATCTATCAATTAATTCTAATGTGTACTTTCGTAAGTTGGTTTTCTGTGTCGCGCCAGAAGGTTTTCCTCGTCTGAGTCCATCCATTCAAATCTACAAATCTACCATTCGTCCTTGCATTAAATACTGTTGGTCTTCGTTATATGGTCGGGTGCCGCCTCTGTTTATCGCGTAGTCTTCGACAAAAATCCAAAGACAGATATGCAATGTGATAGGTCCTGATCTGGCATCTCGACTCTAGTCACTTTCTCACTGACGTGATGTGACTTCCCCCTGTCTTTTCTTCATGTATTTTCTTGGAAACTGCTCTGACAAGCTTCTTTCATTGGTTCCTAAACTGCATGAATTTAAGCGTGCTACTAGATTGGCCCTTCGGTCCCGCCTTTTCACTGTCGAAACAGTTAAATGGCCTATGCCTCTTCATTTTATTAAAATAGCTTTTATCTCGCACTTCCCGAGTGGGACCCCCTGATTTTCTTTTTTAGATTCTGATAGCTATAATCTTCAAATATTTAAATGTAATATCAATCGATATCTGATGCTTTGATCTTGATCCCCGTCCTTCTATTTTAAATTTTCCTCAAACACCCTCTTTACTCTTTCTTCACTCTCTCTGTAACCCTTTGCGTGCTAGTGGCATTCCCGCTTTGGATGGGGTGATATGCTTAAGAAAATAAATAAAAATAAACGTTTCCATTGTCTCACAATTTCCTCAGTACTGTTCTTGATATATAAAATCATATATCATTATTTCATATATATATATATATATATGTAAAAAAATCAAAAAAACAAAAATTCAATATGCATTATTAATATTTAAAATAAATCGACGTCGGAATTTCCGGTCTATTTAAAAACCAAAAGGCCAAAATGACATATTTCATTTAAATATAATTAACATTTTAAATGAACAATGTTAATATCCAAAGTTTAATTTATCCATTACTGATTACAATTATCTGTATTGTTAAACTTTTTTGAAATTTATATATAGAAAACATATTGTATCCATTTTTGTTACCTAAACCGTATAAATATATAAAAGATATATATATATATATATATATATATATATATATATAAATATATATATATATAATATATATATATATATAATCATATATATATATATACAGTTTTATATATATATATATATATATATATATATATATATATATATATATATATATATATATATATATATATATATATATATATATATATATATAAAAATAAATATATTGTAGCAATAAAACGAAAAAAAGTATATAAAAAAATTCTATGAGATCCCTGCAAACGTTTTTGGTTGTAATGTGGATTTATTTAGAAAAAATATTATGCTTTGTTTTTATAATTTTATTTCTTTGTTTCTGGTCCAATGAACCGTCTTCACGTAAAATTCGCAGAACTCTTCATTGCCAATTCAACCAAAAGAAATTCGGATTATTAACACACAAACAGAGAATGTCATCATATCGAGAATATTTAACATTGAACATAAGGAAAAAATTAATTATTTTAATTATTTTAAATAATATATGGAATCTCCATTTTTTTTTACCTGAAGACGGTATTTCTGAGAACGTTCTAAACACGTGTCGTAAAATTATATAAAAAAAAGCATAAATTTTTTCTAAATAAGTCCACATTACAAAAAAACGTTTTCGGCACCTCTCTTCTTCTTTTTTTTTAATATATATATATATATATATATATATATATATATATATATATATATAGGTGTTTCGTTGAATAATTTAGACATGTTCTGTCTGCTTATTTTCGATAGGATCCTTTCTTATTCACGGATAAGCGGATAAGCTTTTTGGTGATGTTATTGAAGGACGAGAGAAAATCGCCGTGTTGATACATATTTCGTTTATTTTCTGAGTACTTTCGACATAGCACAATGTCATCATCAGGAATTGTTCATTGCAAGACAAATATTGTAGTGTTCATTATTATCGAAAACAAAATTATTGTGTTCATCTGAACGTTAAATTTCTTACTTGATGAGTGGCGAACGCTGAGTCAAGAGAGGTAACTAAGTACAATTGTGGAGAGTTTTTTACAAAACAATTATAAAAATTTATTAATGCAAACCTTAACATTTCAAACTATCTGTTGCACACATTTTAAAACATTTCTGGAGTATTAATACTTTTATAATTTTCACAAAAAGAATAGACATAAACTAAAAATTCTCGAAGGTATCTATTTTAAAATAATGAAACTAAACTTAATATAATCGATTTAAGCAAAACGCACATATGTAGTTATAGACATCTGTGGCAAGCGAGAGTCGCGTCAATAATGGCCAGCACTGGTATATTTGTGTTAGTTTTAAAAGTTGTTTTGAGTAGAGTGCAGCATTTGGGTAACTTAACTCGACGAAAATCGGGGTGTAGTTAGAAATATATGTTTTGTTACAATTGTATGAAATTTGCTTTAATATGTAAACTATGTGTAAATAGCGTTTTCCTGTTACAATACCTTATTTAATGAGGGCCGTTAATTTGTACATTAATAGCATCTTTCTTGATATTGGGTGCCATGGAGTATTTTGGCTTTATCAACGAATATTAGTCAACTTTTTTAGGTGAATACTTGCTGCCTAAATATATCTTACCTGTTTTAAATATATATATATATATATATATATATATATATATATATATATATATATATATATATATATATATTTAAGTAAGTTTTTATGGTACAAAATTTAACGATAGCTAGGAATAAAAAAATTTATATGCCATTTTAAAAAGCTAAAGAAAACAACTGCTTTCGTCCCAGCCTTATAGAGTTTATTTCTGGGATATAAAAATAAGCGTGTAAATTTAATTAATACTGATGATAAAGAATGGAGGGGAAAAAATGAATTTCAAGAAAGCTAGTGTCCAATAACATTCAGATCCAGTAAGCATTCTCTCTGTTTACAAAGGGAAGGCCCACGGGATCTGATATACAAGGACTCTAGAACCTTGAGGTGATGAGTGGGACCTGAATAAAATCGAGAAACGGTCCGCACAAAAATCAAAAACATAATTCCTGCTATTTATT